CTGTCCCTTTGGTCCACAGCACGTTGCTGAGCACACACAGACACTGTCTGTGAGGTGGGGCCCACTCTTCTGGCGGAGACAGCTGGGGCCTTATTGATACACTGGGCAGATTTGCCTGCTCTGGCTGGCCAGGCAGGAAATGTTCAATGAATAAGTGAATCCTTGTTTTTTACGTTCTTTGGTGAATGACAATATTTCTTTTGTCATAATCCCTCAAAAAATATAAAGAATGTAGATGTGGTTGATGGGGAAGCATCTAAAACCCAGGCAGGCTTTCACTGACTCAGGGTTAGGAAACCACATTGGTCTTCCTGGTGGGACATGAACTAGCTCAATATCATTGACTCTAAAGCAATAGCCTGCTATGGACTTAGAAGCTTGGCTTTTCAGTTTGTTCTCTTTCTATGGAACTGCAGATATTTCTGTGAACTGATAATATTGACTTGAAAAATAGGAGCATTAAAGTTAGTTGGGCAATGTTTGCCTCTTTTTAAAATCAACTTTATTCAGGTAAGTCTTATATACAATAAAATGCACCTATTTCAAGTGTATTTTATAATAAGTTTTGACAAACTTATGCATGCACACAGTTACTGCAAGAATCAAGATATAGATACTGTGCTGTCCAGTACAATAGCCACTAACCACATGTGGCTATTTCAAGTCTAATGAACTAAAATGAACTAAAATGAAAAACTTCCTCAGTTTTGCAAGGTGTGTTTCAAATCCTCAGTAGCCACATGTGACTGATATTCAGCATATTGGACAGTGCAAATGAAAGACATTTTCACCATTGCAGAAAGTTCTGCAGTGTCGGACGGTGATGAAATCAAATCTATCCATCCTACCAAAAGGCTCCTTCGTGCTCTTTCTCAAAAAATCACCAACCCCTACCCCTGGCCTTAGGAAATCACACGTCTAATTTTTGTCACTACGGATTAGATTCCTGCCTTCTGAAGGTTCATACAGAAGTCCTCTTTATTTGCCCGGCTTTCATTCAGCATGTTTCTGAGGTTGATCTGCTCATGTTGTTACATGTCTAATTTGTTCACTCGTTTTCTTTGCTCAATAGTATTCCGTTGTATAAATAGACCACAATTTACTTATCTACTCAGCTGTTGATGACGTTTTGGTTGTTTCTAGTTGGCACAATTACGAATAAAGAAATTAGTTTTTCATATGCATGTATGTTTTCATTGTTTTTTTTTTTGGGTAAATACCTGTTGCGGGAAGTCAGGGACCCTGAACCGAGGGACCAACTGAAGCCACAGCAGAAGAACATAAATTGTGATGATTTCATGGACATTTATTAGTTCCCCAAATTAATACTTTTATAATTTCTTATGCCTGTCTTTACTGTAATCTCTGGACATAAATTGTGAAGATTTCATGGACACTTACCACTTCCCCAGTGAATATCCTTGTGATTTCCTATGCCTGTCTTTAATCTCTTAATCCCGTCATCATCTTTGTAAGCTGAGGAGAATGAATGTCACCTCAGGACTCTGTGATTGTGTCAACTGCACAAATTGTTTGTAGAGCATGTGTGTTTGAATATGAAATCTGGGCATCTTAAAAAAAGAACAGGATAACAGTGATGTTCAGGGAATAGGAGAGGTAACTTTGAACTGGCCGCCGGTGAGCTGGACGGAACAGAGCTATATTCCTCCGCTTTCATAAGCAAATAGGAGAAATTTCGCTGAATTCTTTTTCTCAGCAAGGAACATCCCTGAGAAAGAGAATGTGCCCTGAAGGTAGGGCTATAGACAGCGTCCGGTCTTTTATGGTCGAAGTCAATGGCATGAAATAAGCCTCAGTCTCCTATGCTGCTCCCAGGCTTACTAGGATGGGAAAATTCCCACCTAATAAACTGTGGTCAGACAGGTTACCTGCTCTCAAACACTGTTTCCTGATAAGATGTTATCAATGACAATGTGTGCCCGAAACTTCATTAGCAATTTTAATTTTGTCTCATCTGGTGGTCCTGTGATCTCGCCCTGCCTCCTTTGCTTTGTGACATTTTATTACCTTGTGAAGTATGTGATCTCTGTGATGCACACCCTATTCGTGCACTCTCTCCCCTTTTGAAAATTGTTAATAAAAACTTGCTGGTTTTACAGCTTGGGGAACATCACGGATCCTGCCGATATGTGATGTCTCCCCAGGACACCCAGCTTTAAATTTCTCTCTCGTGCTCTTTCCCTTTTTTTCTCAACCCAGCCGAGACACTTGGGAAATAGAAAAGAACCCACGTTAAACATCGGGAGCAGGTTCTTCTGTTACCTATGATTGGGATTGCTGGGTTATGTTGAAAGCATATGTTTAACTTTATTAGAGGTTACTAAACCATTTTCTAAAATGATTGTACCATTTTACACTCCTACCAGCAACGGAGGAGAGTTCCATTCTTACCAATTATTACTGTTTTGTTTTGTTTTGTTTGCTTGTTCTATTAATTACTGAGAGATGAGTGTTGAAATCTCTACCTATCATTATAGATTTTCTATTTGTCCTTTCAGTTATATCAGTTTCTGCTTCATGTATTTTGAGACTTTGTGATTGGTACGCACACATTTAGGAATGTTTGTTTTGTCTTTTTTATGAATTGATCCCTTTATCATGAAATGCCTCTCTTTGTCCTTGTTCTGAATTCTACTTTGTCTGTTAATAATATAGCTGCTCTGACTTTTTAAGAAAAAAAATTAGAATGTGAATAGTACATCTCTTTCTAGCCCCTTGTTTTTAATTTATCTGTGTATTTTTATTTAAAGCGAGCATCTTTTAAATAGCATATATTTGGTCTTGCATTTTAAAATCCAGGCTGAGAATCTCTAACTTTTAATGGGAGTGCCTAGGCCATTTACTTTGAAAAAATTAATGAAGAATAAACTGCACATATTTAAAGTGTACAATCTGAAGAGGTTTGGCATGCATACACCTGTGAAACCATCACCACAATCAAGACGGTGGACATTGCTTTCATTCCCAAGTTTCCATGGACTCCTTTGGAATCCATTCCTTCCACCATTTCTCTCTAGACAAGCACTTATGTACTTTTTGTCCCTATAGATTAGTTTGAATTTTGTAAAATTTTGTATAAATGGAAACATAGCATATGTATTCTTTTTGTCTTGTTTCTTTTTTGCATCATAATGATTTTGAAGTTCATTCATGTTGGCTATTTGTTGCAATATTTTTCCTTTTGATTTCTGTGTACTATTCCATTGTGTGGATATACCACAGTGATTTTATTCATTCACATAGATGAACAAACATTTGGGTTTTTTCTAGCTTTTGCTATTACAAATAGTGCTGCTATAAATATTTTTATGTAAGTCTTTGTATGGACATATGCTTTTATTTCTTTGGGGTAAATACCTAGAAGAGAAATTGTTAGGTCATAGGGTAGACATAGATATAACTTTTCAGGAAATTGCCAATCTGTTTTCCACAGTGTTTGTATCATTTAACATTCTTACCAGTAATGTACAAGAGCTATGTTTGCTCCCCTTTCTTGCACCAACACGGGGTATCATTAGTCTTTTTAATTTTAGTGATTCTATTTGGTGTGGTGTTTATTTACTTTTTCCATTTACCTACATATGTCTTCTTTTATGAAGTTTCTTCTCCAAATTTTTGCCGTGTTAAAAAAATTTAGTTTTTTGTCTCCTAAGTCTAATATAAGTCCTTGGCTGATAGATGTGATGTATTTTCTTCCATTCTCTGGCTTGACTTTTGGTTTTTTAATGGTATCCTCAGAAGAATAAAAGTTTTAAATTCTGACGGAGTCCAATATATCATTTTTTTTCTGAGTTAAGTTTTTAAAGTGTTTCAAATATGGAACTTTTGTCTACTTAAGATAACAAAGATTTTCTCCTATGTTTTCTTCTAGGAGTTTTAAGTTTTACATTTAGGTCTGTGATCCATTTGGGTTAATTTTTTGGGTAGAACGTAAGGCACGTATTCATTTTATTTCATAGATCTAGTTGTTCCAGCACCTTTTTTTTTTCAGAAGACTTTCATTCCCTTATTGAAGTGCCTTGACATTTTGTCAAAAATAAGTTAATGCTTATATGTGTGGGCAAAATGGTACATGATACATTTAAATAATTTGTCTGTAAATCTCAGTGGGATACCTGAATGAAAGAGTGAGCAACCATTAAAAATGATAATTACATGGTTACAAATCTCTTGTTTTCATTAAATACAATTTGCTTTAAGTTATTTCTTTATGACTATTCCAAAATAAATAGAAAAATTTTCTTATGGCCGGGCACGGTGGCTCAAGCCTGTAATCCCAGCACTTTGGGAGGCCGAGACGAGCGGATCACGAGGTCAGGAGATCAAGACCATCCAGGCTAACACAGTGAAACCCCGTCTCTACTAAAAAATACAAAAAACTAGCTGGGCGAGGTGGTGGGCGCCTGTAGTCCCAGCTACTCGGGAGGCTGAGGCAGGAGAATGGCGTAAACCCGGGAGGCGGAGCTTGCAGTG